GTGTGTGCACGCATACATACACATTTGTTATTTTAAAGATAAGTAGTAGTAAGTGTTAACGTTTTCTTTTTCTACTGGAACATATTTGCGTTTTACTGTTTGAGGGAAATTGCTTTCTATAATCTATGTGTGAATCAGTTTGTTCACTAATTGGTCGATAACAACGAACAGGCGAATTAGGTATATTATTGATTTCATTGCTTGGATATTCTAGAAATATACAATATTGTTAGTATAACTTTATTCATATCTGATTTAAATAAGAAATAAAAATTATTACCATTTGATGATTCTTCTTCATGTTGTTTTTGTAAGCAACTATTAACATGCTCTTCATAATGTATTCCATTAGTAGTTTTATATTTTGAACAAACACCGCATTCAAGTATTTCAGTATTGTTAATGCTTATTGGAGATGACTTATTTTCCACTAAATATAAATCATTTTCATATTCATTATCGGATGTATATTGTTCGCATCCAGCAGCATGTGCTTCTATTTTATCACTTGGGAAAGACTTATTACAAATGGGACAATTTACATTATTCTCTGTTATTTCCACATATCTAGTTACAGAAATGCTATCATCCTAAAAAAGATTGAGATACAAAATATATAAAATTTTACCTATATGTATATGCTAATAAAAAGTAAAAAATGAAAAATGATTACCTCAAGCAACACGTTATCCTCTGTTGATGTTTTATATTTATTTTGTCTACTTAAACTCTGTAATTGGTCTTCATCTCTGTTAATTTTTTTCTGATATTTCATATCTATTATAGTATTCCATCTTCTGTTTTTTCCTTCTCTGTGTCTTTCTTCTTCTTCTCTCCGTTTTTCTCTCTTTTGCCTCTCTTCTAGTTGTTTTTTGTAAAATTCCTCTCTCTTTTTCTTTTCTTCAGTTTCCTTTTTTTCAGCTTCTTCTTTTTTAATTTCATCTATTTTTTGTTTCTCAAACTGAAGCTTTTCCAAAGATATATATGCATCGTTTATTCTACTCGAAAGACCTTTCTTCAGTAGCGGTTTAGTTTCGGTATTCTCAAACATTGTTTTAACATTGTTATTAGCATTATCTTTTTCTAATTCTATGAGGATTTCTTCGTCAGTGAGGATATTACTTTTATCTTTGGATATTAAATTTATGGCACTTTGTTTTTCATTGCTACTATGTGCTAATGGATTATTGGGAGACATATTAATAATGCATTCTCTCTTTTTAATAATATTTCTTCTAACATTCTGAGGTACTTTTTTTGGACATAAAGAAATTGATTTAGATGGCAAACTTTCTATAGATTTTGTTTTAAATTCAGCTTCAAAATTTTCAATTTTCATATTGTCTGTTGAGAGCTTGCTATCATTGTCTTGATTTGAATTTCTATTTTTTTCACTGCATTTAGCAGTACATACCGTTTTATGTGAACGTAACACCCTGTTTGTATCTTCATGAGATTGAATTTTCTTTTTTTTAATAGTACTTTCATCTTCATCGCTGCTAGAATATATTATATCAGAAAAAGAAGAAAGAATCAGAGTTGATTTACGTTTATTAGGTCGTTCATTGTTATGTTTGTTTATACATTCCATTTGATTCTGTTCAGTCTTAATATTTTTTAATAATTTTTTATCCAAATTATCTTTAGCAAGACCCACCTATAGAAATGTTGAAAGAAGGATTAGAATTATAACAATGAAACTTTTTTTTTTTACAGAAATACGATTTATTCAAAGATTATTTGTAGCTTACAGTTGTAATTACTTTTTTTTCTTTATAAACACTTATGGATACATGTGTTTGTATAAATGCAAATTTTACAAGAAACACCAATCATAATCTTCGATTATTTTTATACAAAGCACTATTGTTATTTGTTCTCAAATCATCTTATCAGTGTATATATAAATAAAAAATATGTAAACTTTGCCAGTAAAGTTATTTTTAATATATTAGTTAATTTTATCACAACCGTTGCACTGCTAATCATAAGAAACAACATCAAATATTATTAATGCCAAAAAGATATTACACTAGTATCATGAGTAGTTACACATTTTTTATTGAAAAGAATTGATAAAAATTTGTACTAAAATTATAAATATTTTAGAAGAAAACATTAACATCCTAAACATAAATCTGTGCATACAGTTAATTTTAATATCAATTTCCCATGGCACAATGCTGTATTATGAAGAATTTAACTTGTATATGAGAAAAGAAATATTGGATTATTTGGAAAATTCGTAGCGAAATTTCAAATGAATAAAATGGTCTCGATTGATCGAAAGTACATTTATATCATTTCTTTTAGATATTTATTCAATATAAATATAACAAGATATTTTTTAAAAAATTTCTCTTTTAGAAAATAAATAAATTCTTTTGAGTGATTTTCACAATTCTTCGTTATTAAAAAAGTTTGTAAAAAGCAGAGTAAATTGTAATGAGATTACAGTAATAGAATTGAACATTTCAAGTAAAGACTTGATTTCATGAAAAATATCAAAGAACTAAATTTTACTTGTTAAAAATGTTAATTTTGATCAATAATCAGCAAAAATCTCCCAAATAATCCAATATTTTCTCTTATATTTATTAATGATAGGATCTGTAAGAAATGGATTGGATGGAGGTACCCACCTGAATGGGTGACCCCCATTGAAACTTAGTATCAGTAGTACGGTGCCAACTATGCCACAATTCTGCTGTTTGTTTCAAATAAACATTTAACGTAGGCAGTAGCTTTTCAAGCATCTCGGGTGTTTGTGCATCTTTGCATAATCTAAATGGCATACGATCTTGAACTACCGGCCGATTTGGCTCTTGCAAAGGCACATCATTTTCACTAACACATGAATCAAGTGGATTAATTTGCCATTGATCCAATTTTTGATCACATTCAGAGTATGTGTCCATTTTCATTTCTGCATTATTTATAACATCTGAATTTTGTAAAGAGTTTTTTGATTTCAAAGAAATATATCTATTTGTGCTATGAGAGTAACTATCTCTCATATTCGAATTATCTTGTAATCTAATGAACATATCCTCGCTATCAAAATTTTTTCCTCTGTACATAGAGTTTCTCGAATCAGCGATAGCGGTGGAAAGATCGGAATTGCTACAGTCATGATCAGACATTCCCTCATGTATTGGCGATGTATGATTAGGTTTATATAAGTTCGATTGAGATGCATCATTGTGTTCTTGTATCTCCAGCTCTTGTTCTAAATCTGCCTTAAGCATTACTTCTGAGGTACATTCACCAGAAGATTGCATTGATTCCTGAAAACATATTAACATATTAATTAAATAATTGTGATAACATACATTTTATAATTTTTATGATTTACGAGCAAGTCAAACTAAAGCATTTATTAAATTAATGAATGAATCAACCTTCTGTACATCTTTCTCGTCATTAGCCATATTTGCCATATCCTTAGATTCATTAATGAATCCTAAAATTTGTTTCATATCCTTGTAAGTATACCATGTCTCATACAGTTTCATATCTGAAATTCATTTTATAAAACAATATATTATTCTTAAAAATGACTATAATGAAAATGATAAAATCACTATGGTTAAAAGAAAAAAATCGGAAAAAATTTATATTTGACTCAGGTACCTATAAGTTCCCGTTTCATTTCTTCCTCTTCCTCTTCTATTTCTTTGGATGTTAACACTTCAGTTTTATCCATACTGTCTGACATATTTATAATTCCGTACGTTTAGATCGGGAAATGTCAATAAAACGTTTTTTTATGCAACGAATCGAAATTTAACTGTAAAACATTTGTGATTTGTAATTTCGAGTTTTTCCTCATTACTGCTTAATTATTCTAGTAACAGCCATTTGCGAACAATAATGATGAAAAAATAAAAATTGAAGAAAAGACGTCTACAAATGTATCATGTTAAATGGATGATCTGAAATTAACTTCAAGATTAGCACCGTCAGACAGAAAAAGACGTATCGATATCGACGACGAGCAATTTCAGATCGTTTGATTTTTAAGATTCATTCGCATGAATAGATGGACTTTATTCATATTGGAAGAATTAGATGTTATTTTGTACATTATTATGAAACAATAGTAATGCAATACGTTTGATTATTATGAAATTGATTAAATTTTATTATCACTTAATTTAGTATGAAAGTAATATTTTTCACAAGAAAATATTTGTTCTTGAAATATTAATATAATTCTAAATATTTAATCATATGAATGTTAACTGTCGTACCTGAACAATAAAAATAAATATGGCTGCGTCTATGGTCAGGCAATGTATTCAATCTAGGTATTTTGTATTTTCTATTTTTCTATTAATACGTTTATCATACAATATATGCTGAACATATATTTGCACACAATATTTATTATTATTGTTTATTTATCTATAGCATTAAAAATATAATCTTTGTAAAACCTAACCCCTAATATAAATTTCTTAATGCAACAAAATTAGAATTAGAATTAGAAAAAAGATTAGAAATTCTTAAATTTTTGATTTTTAATATTATTATTTATTGTATATTGATGTGTTTGATGTTATTAAACGTTTATCTTTTTTACCAAAATAATTTGTTTATAGTTTATCAAAACAAGTAACCGAGATAGTATGGAGAGAACAAAATATAAATCATACTTTACAAATCTTGAGCATGTCACATATTCAGCATCAATATTATCACATTACTGTGCCTTTTCTCAAGCGAAAACATGTGGAATCACAAGTAATGTTTTAAACATTTTAAGATTGATACTCAAAAGATATACATAAACAATTGCAAATTATTTACAGAAAAATGAATTGGTATTTAACAATAATGAATTGAATAATTTTTCACATAAACAATCCAAAAAAAAGTCATTTCCAATAGTAGAAACATGGAATGATATGACAGTTCAAGAATTAGCAAACTCTGCCAAAAGAGATGTTGAGGATGTTTTAGATGCACTTTATTTTGAAAGCTGCAGCAACACTTATACAACAAATAGTATTTTAACAGATGGACATTTAATACATAAGGTAGTTCAAAGACTTGGTGCTAAATCTAAACTTATATTAAAATGTGTTAAAAAAAGAGATATAGAGGATAAGGATATTGTAAGAAGGTAATACAAAATTTTTGTCAATATAACAGTTCTTGTTAATTTTATTAAGACTGCAATATAATTAAATTTTACATAGGCCTTTACCAGATAAATCCAAATTAGTAAAACGACATCCAGTTGTAACGATCATGGGACATGTTGATCATGGAAAAACTACTTTACTTGATGCATTACGACATACATCTGTTGCACAATCTGAATTTGGTGGAATTACACAATACATTGGTGCTTTTAATGGTTGGTTCTAAATTGATTATATATTAAGTTAAATTAAAATTTTACTGAAATGTAGTTAAACTGTAGGTTTAAGAAAGAATAATAAGTAACATGAAGAGAAATATTTTAATAAGTTATAATTTAATTATGTTTAAATTTTAGTAACTCTGGATTCTGGAGAAAGAGTAACATTTTTGGATACACCTGGGCATGCTGCTTTCACCTCTATGCGATATAGGGGGGCATATGTAACAGATATTGTGGTGTTAGTAGTAGCAGCTGATGATGGTGTTAAAGAACAAACTTTACAGAGCATAAAAATGGCAAAAGATGCCAATGTTCCAATTATTGTGGCTATTAACAAGATTGATAAACCTGACATTGATATAGTAATGTTTTAAGAATTTAGTTCTAAGGATTAAAAATCAAAATTTGGAAATTCTTAAATTTATAATTATCTTATTTTTTAGGAGAAGATACAAAATGAACTTGCGAATTATGGTGTTGTAGTTGAAAAACTTGGTGGCGAAGTACAATGCATAAAACTATCCGCCTTAAAGGGAACTAATTTGCAAGAGTTAACAGAAGCTATAGTCGTACAAGCCGAATTAATGGATTTAAAAGGAGATCCTACAGGTTTGGTAGAAGGTGTTGCTATCGAATGTAGTAATCAGGTTCATCGTGGAAATTTAGTGACGGCTTTAATTCAACGTGGTACTTTAAAGAAAGGATGTTTTTTAGGTAAAGGGTAATAACATTAGTCTTTATAAAATTAAATTTATTGAATTAGTTTTTATTAGTATATTGTTTCTTCAAATAGTTTCCGGACTAGCATCGGCGAAAATAAGGAGTATATTTAATGATTCTGGCCATCCTATTTTGGAAGCTAAACCGTCGGATGCGGTACAAATCACTGGATGGAAAGAATTACCTAATGTTGGAGATGAAATATTAGAAGTGGAAAATAATAAGGTGCTGCAAGAAGTCCTAAAATTTAGAGAGAAAAAGCGTGATGAAATTTTAGCTACAGAACATAAAGCAGCTGCCGACGAAAGATTACAAGAACATGTCATTGTAATATCAAAATACTCAATAATCGTGAAATGTATTTTCCAATCGTTTATATATATATATATATATGAAAAGTACAACCTGTACATTTTCATAATTATAGGAATATCGAAAATTGTTAGAAGTAAAAAGAACTTTCGGAAAAGAAAAATTGAGGAAACTGAAGTTTGAACTTGAGAAAGAGAGAAGGAAACCTAAAATTGTTGATTCCATTCCTAAAATTAATATTATCATAAAAGGTGACGTGGCAGGAAGTGTTGAAGCATTATTAGACATTTTTGATACATATAAATATGATACAATATGCCGATTGAATATTGTTCATTATGGTATCGGATCCGTTTCAAATTCAGACATAGAATTAGCGAATACATTTGAAGGTAATAAAATCCTAAAAAAGTGTTATACTTTTTATATATTATTCTAAATTACTTGTATTTTTTTCAGCAATTATATACGGATTTAATGTAAATGCGATTAAAACTATAAAAGAAATGGCCGATGCGAAAGGCGTATCTCTTCGATTTTATAACGTTGTATATAAACTTATTGATAATATTAAGGAAGAAATTCATAATGTACTGCCTGAAGTTGATATTGAAGAAATAATAGGTAATAATATTACATAATGTAATTATACAGAGTATATAGCAATGATAATTTCTTTTTGTATTGTAATACAGGCGAAGCAACGGTATTGCAAAAATTTGAAATAAATGAGAAAAATAAAAAAGTAAGCGTTGCAGGTTGTCGTTGTGTCAAAGGTGTTCTTTTAAGATCTGAAATGTATCATGTGGTTAGAGGAAATGAAAATATTTTTACAGGTAAATTTGTGACATGGTAGTTTTGAAATTAATTTATTATTAATTTAACAGTAAGAAAGTAACAACTAACAATTTCGAAAATTGTCAATTGTTACTTCCTTACTTCGTACATTATTTTATTTTTCGTTGAATATTAATTTAATAGTTGTTTCGTATACTTCTCTTAAAAATCGACAATATTTGAATACTTTATTGCAGGGAAATTGATGTCAATGAGGCATTTAAAGAATGAAATGTCATCGATAGAAACTAATCTTGAATGTGGACTTAGATTTGAAGATCCAAAAATATCATTTCAATCTGGAGATACTATTATTTGCTTTAAATTGAACAGAGACAAAAAAAAGCTTGACTGGGATCCTGGATTTTAATTTAATATATTGTTGTAAAGATTACAAAATAATATATAGATAATGTAAAACAAAAAGATATAAATCACAGAATATTAACCTGTTTTTGCGTTTTATTAATGGCAAATTAAATTATTTGTATAAAATGCATTTTTACAAAATGTAAGTACAAATTTCTTTATTATTGCTTTTGTGATGCAACACTGTACTTCTTACACTTTCATCAATGGAACTTTCGTTTTATTTGAAACAAATACGAACGAGCCATACTATCACGACCGATAATCGATCTGTTCTGTTTCTTATTTGCATACACTCTTCTTTAAAAAGAAAAGAAAAGAAAAAAAAAAGAAAATTTGCATTGTCACAGATTTATAAAAATCGATTATGTTACATTAACGTTAAAAGTTTCAAGTCTTTGTCCCCGGGAATTTTAACAGTAATTTCACCAAGATATCTTTATTCTGAAACGAGAAGATGATAAGAACTGTATGTTAACATCTTAAGAAGCGTAAGTTTCTCGAAGCCGGCGTTGAATGTGATGATACGCGGTGAGAACGCCGCGTTTCTTTTTCTGCAAACGGCACGGCGCTGATTCTTGGCTCGCCTTGGCGATTTTTGTATCTAACGGCTCAATGGGAGTATCGGTATCTGGATGCACGAAAAATGCAATGGAATGACGACCCCGACCACAATGTTCTGGCACAACGACTCGGTGTCTCAGTGCTGGCAATTGATTGTTCGTCCAGTTTGCTAATATGTCGCCGGTGTTCACCAAAATGGCACCTGGCAGATGACCGACTCTTCCCCATCGTTCACCATGTGGAGTCTGTATCTCTAAACCACCTTCGCAATCCTACGAAATGAAAGCAAGTTTCAATTTCAATTCAAGATAATCGACT